CTATCTCCTTTAGCACGCACCCCAGAGCATGGTAGTCTGTCATCAGGCGATCCGGGCTTCTCCTGGCCGAATCATTAGTACCCACATGAATTAGGACCATGGGGTAGTAATTGGTGGGCTGGATCATGTCTTGGATCATCCCCTTCACGTCCTGAATCTTTGCTCCAGGTAGGCAGTAGACCTCGTGTGTTGAGGGGTGCTGGTGACAGATGGGGCCCTCTGTACCTCTCAGAATGGAGTTGCCTATGATGATCACTCGACGCTTTTTCCTCCTGGCCTGCTTATCTCCTTCAGCCTGCTTGGAACGTGGAGAGCGTGGAGTTGCCTCCTCTCCGGTTTCCTCCTCTCCTTCCTTCTCCTCCATAGTTGCCAGGGCCTCGTACTTGTTCTCCAGCTGGACTGGAGGAACTGGTACTGCTGTGTTACGAGCGGCCCTGGTTCTGGAGGTGACCGTCATCAAACAAAGAAGCTTGCTGGTGGTGTTTGCTGTAGGAGGGAGGGTTCTGAACTTACCCTCCTTGATCACCTCTTTTGTGAGGAAAGGACCAGCAAGTTCCAGTGACTTATGAAACTGGATAGTATGTATCTTTCTTAATGCTTATTTGAATTCTGTATCGTTCTTAGGAAGGCAGTTAAGTTTGGTAGGTCCTCTTCCAGGAGCAAGTGTGAAGAGTTACTCTAGCAATCTCACAGTGAACAAGACTCATAACAGCAATCTCTTCTTCTGGTTCTTCCCTGCTCAGGTAAAGTTACTCTGTGATATGCCATGAGAGATGTTCCTTCCTGTACAGCCTAAAAAAACACCAGACAAATAACTCCCTCCTTGATGGCTTTGCTCTTTGATTTCACAGAAGAAAGCTGACATTTTAGAATAACACCACTGTACATTAGATATTAGGCATAGTGCAAGCTACACCAAGGGTACTGAGGGTTAGTGTCTATTCAGCTGTGTCCAAACTACACAATATTCTCCTCTTTAAAGGTTTGCTTCCTCGCATATTCAAACTGGTTGTGGGTTGGCTTGAAATTTCTGCAGGTTGGCTTATAAAGTTAAAAAAGATCCCAGATCAGCTTGTGCATGTATATCAAACTTGTGCAATGTGGAGAAACTATGCCCTAGGGGCTTTTTCTAATTTAAGCAGCTTTCTAGAAAAAGGTGATTGCAGGAATGAAAAGGTTATCAGGACTTCACTTTCCTTGTTGCAAATTTCCCTTGGCTAATTATATATTCTCAGTGTTATTCTCTTCTTTATCATTGGTCTCACTAACGTCCTTTATAATTTGTCATCTTCTGTCTTGTACTCTTTCTGTCCTCTTCTGAGCCTTGTTGAGAATTGTCCTACTAGGGTTTAATTATAACTATTACGTCATATATAAAATGAAAAGCTTGTCATTATTCTCCAAAAACTGACAGGCCATTTTTTAAAGGAAAAGTCCTCATCTAACTTTTTAACCTGAGTATTTATTCACACCTTGCTTTGTTCTGCTCCAAGTGTTTATTAGCGTGCAGAATCATTTAATGTTTTGAGATTGCAGCTTCTCCCTACATCCCTGAGGACAGAAGTACAGTGGAAAGCCAATTATCAAAACTAATTGGGACCAAAATCTGTTTATAAAATCAAACACTTTAGTTATTGAAACATGTTATTAGATAGGTAATAATATACATATACATGCTTTTTCAGTTTGTTGATCATTTCAAGTCGTTCTTCAATTGTTAAAGCATTGCTCTTTGTTTTAGTCATCTTGTACTCTTGTACCACACAGTTTGGCAGCACATTCTGTGTTCATATAACTATTGGATAGTTTGGATAATTGGCAATCTACTGTATGTTGTTTAACCACTGGCATTTTTCAGACGATTAGCAAGACAAGTCTCTTGTGAGGATGTAAAATGTGTGGCGTCCAAAGTGTGTAAAAAAACCCCAACAAAACAAAACAGAAAAAACCTTAAAACCAAACAACCCCCCCAAACTTTACCATCTTTAGCACTGTTTTTCTTTTTGTCTGAAAGCATAGGCAACAAGTAGGAGGAGCACAGGAGGGCGTGTGCCCCCCCATGAAACTGGCTGCTGCCAGTTTCTGTGGGCGGTTGCTGCTCGCCCCCTGCCCCCCGCCTCACTGCTGCCACCAGTGTCTGCGGGCAGTCCCTGCTCGCCACCCCCATCCCCCCGCCACCACCACCACTGCCATCTGCAGGCGGTCCCACTTGCCGCCAATGCTGCTGCCTAGAAATGGTGCCACCGCAGTCTCGGGAGGCACCAGTCATTCATGTCTGAAAGGCTATTATTGTGCTGTACTAGTTTAATTCAGGATTACATCTTCACGTGGAAATGCAAAGTCATGTTACCAGGATTAGAATTGCTCAGTTTCCCAGAGCAAAAGCCTTTGCAATATAGTTAATGGAATGATATTAAGTAGTGAATTGGACTAAGGTCAGAAGACTTGCTTAGCCAGACCTGAACAACTACCGCCAAAAGGTTAACATGTCTGCAAACACTTGATGTTTTTACATTTCATACAACTATTTACTATTCTAATTATGAGGCTATTGGAACTGGGGTAGCTACTTAGTCTCACTTATTTACTATAAACTTGTCAAGGCTGACTCATGTTTGGCCTTACGTATTACTTTGCTGTTTGGCTCTAGCTGTACTTGTTGTGCTGTATAGTTAGGTTACCACAAAATAATCTAGAACAGTTTTGGTTGTTTTAATCCAGACTGTTTTGAAATGGTTGGCTATATATTCTTGTTTATATATTTTCTTGAGGAAAACCATTTAAAATAGGCTATGATTCTTAATGGTATAGACATTGCAAGTGTTTTAGCTAAAGATTATTTCCTCTCCTCCAAGAAAGCATTGCTAGCACGCAGAGCCAGATTAACACACAGTGGGTTAGTCTGTGGGGAAGGGAAGAGGTGTGGGGGGCAGATCAAGGCCTCCATGGTGTGAGGCAGAGGCAGAGGCAGGGGCAGGTGTGAGTAGGGCCCCAGCTGGGCTAGGTGGTGGAAGGAGCTGAGCCTGGGTGGCTCGTCCAGGTGCACGGTGGGGCTGCCGCTGCTGCACAGACCCTGGTGGAGGCCCAGGGGGCATGTCCCCCCCCCAATCTATGCATGGGGTGGAGGTGGCTGCCGCTGGGCACTGGGGGCTTCACACCCCAAGCCCCGCTGCAGCTGCCTCTGCCTCACGATGGCACGATCATGGCCCAATACCATGTGCATCCCGCTGCTGGGCTGAGCTGCACCGCCTACCCAGGGGTGGGATGCATGTGGTGTTACGTTGGTCCCAGGGCAGCTGCAGCATGGCTCAGGGTGCAGAGCCCAGCACACAGTGGCAGCTGCCTCCACCCTGTGCACAGATTGGGAGGGTGCATATGCCCTGCAAGCCTCCACCAGGCTGTGTGCACCTGTGGGAGGTCCCCCGCACCCACGCACACCTGGACAAGCCTCCCAGGCTCCGATCCTCCCACCACCCAGCCTGGATGGGGCCCCACTCACCTGGCAACAGAGGGCATGGCAGGGCATGGAGGGGGATCGTCCCACTCACCTGACCTGGCCCCAGTGGCAGAGGGCACGGCTCACCCCAGTGGTGGGATGCATATGGCATTGCACCGCTTTTGAAGCAGCTGCTGCTCTGAATCTCTGTCTCGGGGCCTAAGTATGTGCACATATGTGTGTGTGCTCAGCCCCCCCAGACTGAGATCGACTATGAGAGGTGCCGCAATCGACCAGTTATTGTGATCAACTGGTTGGTGACTACTGATATAGACCGTCTTTCCATTAAATATTTTGGGAACTCATAGGATTATTTATTTAGCAGTATTTATTGGCCAGGATTACTTATATAAAATGGCCTGCAGAAGAAACCAGCTAACCAGAAAGAACTTTTGCTCTGGGCAATGGTGGTGAACAGGGCAGTGCTGGCTGTTATGCTGATGGCAGTGTGAGCACAGCCAGCTGCCAGCCAGGGTTGGTGGCTATTTTTGAACCCTCTCTTGCCTCTAAGGTGGTTTATGGGGCTGCTGCCCTGGTCACCCCCTTCAGTTATGCTACTGTCCTAGCACAGTGTCACTATTTAAAGTTGATGATAGTTAAATTTTGTTGTGAAATACCTAATTAACAGCTCTTACTATGTATTTTCAAAAAATATTTTTTTATTAGACAGCAAAAGTAAAATACAGTAAGATATATTTTTCTTTACTCTCTTAGTTTTAACTGCTTTAACTTAAAAAAAATTAAATTGCTATGCAAATTGGCCTGCAGGTGGCACCAGAAGAACTCAGTGGACAGAACATGAACCCTTGAATGTAGACGTATACATGCATAGTTGCCCTTAAATAATTTTTTTAGGGTAGAAGGCACTTTATTGAAAGACCAGTAATCTATTAAGCAAAAAGAGGAAAACCATATGACCCTGTGAAGTACTTTTTATTTTGCAAGATTTATTTTTTCCTTTCCATAAAGGAATTTTTAAAATAAATATCAATGAAAATAGCTTAAAAATTTACCTGTGGTTCTTAGAACCCAGTGTGCTTCCATAAATAAAATGGAATTTGCTAGAAACTATTATATGAAATAGTACATCAAATGTAATTGGCTAGAAACAGCCAGGAAATATCACATTCCCTCCTCTGCTCTTTTCAGTTATTGCAGCATTTTCTTAATATACTTCCCACATCAGTCTGTATTCACCTGTAGTGTCTCATCTCATAGTGAGATTTTAGGCTGTTTGTGGCATAGTCTGTTTTCTCTGTGTTCAGTATAGTATCTGGTAGAATGGGGTCTGATCTATGACTGAAGTCATTAGGAGGGGGGTCTCATGTGAATCATAAGTAAATATAATGCTTCTTAATTCTTTCCCTGAACTTTTCTGGAGTCAGTTATGTAGGAGCTGCCACCAACATAAATCACAATTATTCTTTGCACCTGGAGTGGGAATCCTTATTCCATAGTCTTCCTTTGCCATCCATCTATTCTGAATCCCATGTAGATAGAAGTTATCTGGCCTGTTTTAGTGGCAAGTTTTTTTGGATAAGTATCACATTATAAGTGAATTAGACATACCACGTGGATTTATAAGACACTTAGCCTATTCAGATAAATTGAGGTAGTAATGAACACCACTTCTTTTCACATAGTAGAACAGTGTGCTCCATTATCTTTCCATATAGATACAGCCAGAGAATGCTCCTGTTGTACTTTGGCTCCAAGGAGGACCAGGAGGTACATCCATGTTTGGAATTTTTGTTGAACATGGACCGTATGTTGTTGACCAGAATCTCAGATGTAAGCATTGCTTGTATTTGTGAATTCTGAAAGAGTTTATTTTTCTGTAACAATGCTCTTTATTGGATACTGCTGGTCATGGAATTGTTTCTCTCTCTTCTGCACTTTCAGTGTCACACATATAATTTGGTGTACAGCATGATACACATGCAGTCTGGTCAGCATTAGGTGCTAAGAAAAGTTAGAGCATTCTTGGCAAGAATAGAAACTTCAGAGAGATTTATTTGCTGTATTATATAAAGTTTCTGCTGCCCATATGCAAACTTCTGATTTTTCAAAGGGTTATAATTGTGGCCAGACTGGAGGAGGTTTCTACATCTACATATTCATTAATGCACCATAAATAAAGCACATTAAGTTTAGTATCTGTAATAACAGATACTAAACTTATTGCGATGTAATCAGTGCTATTGTGCATTAGCACAGATTAATACTTTTTAAGTGACGTTAATGCACATTAGATTAAATCTACTGTGCATTAGCCCGGTTTTCACCAGCTGCCCTAACCTGCAGTAGAATTAGTCTTCTGGGCTTGGGACAAAAATTACGCATAAAGCCACTTAAGTAATCAGAAACTGATTTAAACCTGTAGCAGAACAGAAGTTCAGTGCACATAAACCACTTTTAAAATGGGCGAAACTGGTTTAAGATAAACCTAACTGGATGTAGTATCAGACTTAACTAATTTAGGTCAAACCAGTGTATGAAACTTCTGTTACAGACCCCTTCCTGCTTCAAGCCACACAGCCTCCCAGCATGCTTTCCAGCCCTGGGCTGGGCTGGGCTGTCTGCTCTAGCAGAGAAAGCAAACCCTAGCTGGGGTCAGGGAGGGGAATTAAACCCACCTTCCCCCAAGTACAGAGCTGCCCAGCTGTTAAACTTATTGAAACTTACTGCTGGCTGCGACTGTGGACTACAAATCCCACAGGCACCTGGAAGCAGGAGGAGGAAGTGACGAGTGACTCTGCAGAGTTCTGCTTCTGTGATTCTGGACTACAAATCGCAGAAACCTCAGCGGCAGCAGGAAGAGGAATTGAACACATGGCCCATACTGGCTACATACCAGAGAGCCGTGTTTTAGCATACCCCAGTTTCTGGCCTGAGCCAATGCAGGCATGTGGCTGTATTTCCTGAATCAAAAGTAAATATGTGTCCAGTTGTTTCTCAGTTTAATATCTGCAGTTTAGATTAACCTGCAAAAACTGAATCGATTCAGCCTCGGGCTTTTTGTCTGTACTTAGTCCTATGCATTAAGTATCTCATATTGATATGTCCACTAGCCAGGTTTGGTAGCTGCCACATTTCTTTTTTAACTTACTTTCATAAACAGATTGATGATATTAATGTTACTTCCAACACATTGTCCAAATGAGTTATAGAAACATATTTAACTTTTGATTTAGGATGGACATAAGTGGTAGAAACTTTTACTAGTGGGTTTTTTTCATAGAAAAACTTGATTAAATTATTATAAAAAGCAGTAATGGCTAACTGTAATACTTTATCTGTTAACAGCGTCTTAATGAAAGTTTCCTTGGACATCCAAGTTTTCCATGCTTTATATTGACAATCCAGTAAGTACAAAAAATAAATATTGATTTGTTGCTTTGTATGTTTAAGTCATTATGTTTATACAACACTGCTTCTTTCAAGATCTTTTTAAAAACACTTTTGTGGTAATCAGTTCTTTAGACATAAGTGAGTTTCTGAATCATATATATTGTGTATTTGCATGTGCATATAAAACTGCATATGTATACCTCATTCCAGTTTCAGATACTAATTAGACATACATTTTGCATTCACAAATTCATGCCTCTAGTTCTAAAAATCTGGCTTTTTTCTGACTGTTTACTTCTGTGGCTTAATAGAGTAGCTTTGTTTTAACTCATGTTTTTTCCTGGGTAGTGAAAGGGAGAAAGGACCACGTGACAAATGCAAGTCGCATCACTTTGGTTCCGAAAGATTTTCTTCACGCTGTATTGTGATGAATGTAGTATAATCCTTTAATTCATTGTCTAAAATTCACAAATTATTTTACAAGATATGCTTTAAAAACTGTATTATTGTAAAAGGACCAAAATTATTTCATTCTTATTTAAATTCCTTTGACTCTTTCTAGTATAAAGGCTTGTACTAGTTTTAGAGAAAACACATGCTTGGCAGAACCTTATTTTGCTATGTGATAACAAATGCGTTATAGAGCTAGAACCAGACATTTACCTCTTCAATTTCATGCATTTTTGTGTTTTTATTAGCTTGGGACTGGCTTTAGTTTTACTGATGATACAGGATATGCAGTTAACCAAGATGATGTAGGAAGAGATTTATACAGGTAAGTTGTGCCCCATGAGTTCATGTTTTCCCTGTTCCTCTGAAATTCCTAAGAGTTAGCACTGCTGCTATCTCCTAGACAATGCTGAAATCTTTAGTTGCCGGCAGCTTTCTCCTGTAAAATGCTCTTCCTCTTATTACAAAAATCTTCACTTGATTTTTATTTTAATCATGACTTGTGAGTACACTTACAAGTTTATTTAGTTTTACTGGGGTTATCAGTTTAAGCAAATAGTATGAATATTGCAGTATTCAGTAATGTTTGTAGAGAACCTAACTGTTTGTTATACCTATTGGTTACTGCAGTGGTCAGCAGCCTTCCAAGGCTGTGAGCCAGATTGCCCTAGTTTGGTGCAGAGGTGGAAGGGCACTAAGACCCAGCCATCACTGATGCTTTTCTCTGCTGTGGCATGAGGAAGTGATTGCTGCTGAAGTCCCATGTCTGTGGACCAGACCAAATGTTCTGCAGCCTGGATCTGGCCTGTGGGCCATAGGTTGCTGAATCATGGGTTACTGAAACAAAATAAAACAGAAATCAAAACTGAAAACTTGTGGTCAAGGGGGATGGTGGTCTTACAAGATGTGAAAAAATGAAGGGTGGGTATATGTCTATTTCTAATTCTGATCTTGTAATTGGTACCAGAAATAGGGTCTAAACACAATTTCTTTAGCATGTTTTGAAGCTTTCCATAAGGTCTGCCTGATGTTTAAATCTCTGCCCCTGCTCATTCTACTGCCATTTTTGGTTAAATGCTTATTTCTATTCATGCTCTTTAATCAAAATGACCATTTCTCTTACCATTTTTCAGTTGTTTATCTCCAAACATTGCCTTTTTTCCCGTCTTAAAATGGTTGCTAGGGATTTCCAGAGTAAGTAGGATTTTAGGTCTTGATTCTGCACAGTGAAGTTTGGGATCTTCAATAGGACACTGTGTCAGCTTGAATGCTTTTAATTGCAAGACAGGATTTTATCGGATGGGTAACTTATTCAAAATGGATGCCCTGCTCCTATATAGAAGGATATAGTGATTTTGTTGCATTTCCTGAGTAGAGCAGAAATTGAATCATTCCCTTCCAGTGGTGCTTTTGCAGAATGGGATCAGTAGCAGGGGGATCTAAATTACTTACATGAGGAATATTTGCTTTTCATCAAAATGAATTGTCTCAGTAAGTGAGATTTGACTCTACAGGCTACTGAGCAGTCAGGTTGCTATATTCTGTTGGGTTAGGCCACAATGCTTTTCTCCTGGCATGATGGAGCCCCAGCTCACACCTTTCTCCTATGATGCACCATATGTTCAAACATGCTTAGACATTGGCGACCACCTGAGTGCGGCAGTGCACCCCTTGTGAAAAGGCGCTGCTGCCACTCACCACCCCCTTGCCGCCAACACTGCTGGCAGCATCTGCAGGTGGTCCACCATCACTGCTGGCTGCTGCTGATGCTGCCAGCAGTGTCTGCGGGTGGTTGCTGACCATTGGTCGGCACCTGCCACTCCTCCCCCCACCCTGCCAACAGCACTGTGGCTACCTGTGGTAGCTCCCCACTTGCCTCTGCCATGCTCCGGCCACCGCTGGCACCGCCACTGCCTGTAGAAGCTCGCTGTGCCCCACCCAACCTCTGGGGGCATGTGGCGTTCATGTGCTTAGATACTTTTTTTGCTTAATTAGCAGATATCTTGACTTTAATATGGAATTCAAGATGTAATTTCCTAACAGTTTTGGAGCTGTTTTTAGTTACTAGCTTTCTTTCTAGGAAAGAATTACAAATTCCAGCTGACCCTCTATGTGGCTAGTTACTGCTGACATGTGACACATCTCTTTTTGCATGACACATAAAGAGAAGCTAATTCAAAGCGTTCATTGTTTATGGCTGGTTTTTAGTTCTTTATAGCTTCAGGCTGTCAGAGCTGGGGAACAGCTAATCAAAGGGTAGTGCAGAAAACTGATTTCAGCTGTCCCTTTATAAGTTTTACATTTTTCATGCATCCCACTCCCCTTACATACAATCTAGAGGGAGGGCAAAGAAGGAAAGACAAGTTTAAAATGTTCAGATATTTGGGTCTAGCTACAGGAAACTGAGAAATAGTAGTAGTTTTTAGCCTCCTGTCCTCACCCTCTGCTTATTTTTTGTAGTTGCTGCTGATTTCTCTCTTATGCTAACAAACTTTACTGGCTGCTAGGATCTTAGGAGTGGATCCTTGAACTTTCAAAACATTTGATGCTTGCTTCAGAGAGAGAAAATAGCCTCCTTCCCAGCATGGGCATAAGTCAAACACTTGCAGTTTCCCCTCTCTGCCTTTTTTGAAAGGACAAATCTGTTTTCTTTGACAGTATCACTTATAGCTTTCCTGGATGAAACTGTCAAAATCCATTTCCACTGAGATCAAATGATACCTACTGGTTGGATACAGAATTAAGAAAACACAACACTGAAAATTTCCCTTAAATGATTTGCTGTTCTCTGATATTGGCTACATTTCCCAGAAAATATGTGAACACTGGGAAAGAAGTCTGCACTATATACAGTCTAGGTCTATGTATTTGACAGTAAATAGAAGGAAGAGTATGGGATTCTGCTATATTTTTTTGAGTAAATCAACTTTCAAATGCATTTCTTTCTTGGAGTGAGAGATATTTCTGTGCACCTTTTATACTTTTACTTATATTTTAGTGAACTCATCCAGTTTTTCCAGCTATTTCCTGATTATCAGAAAAATGACTTCTATGCTACAGGAGAAGTAAGTTCACATAATACTTTTTCACTCAAAAAGAACCATTTCCCTTTATAATTATTTGTGAGCATGAAGAATAAGTCTACATTGTTCTATGCTTAGTGACAGCACAATATTTAGAGACTGGTAAAAGAATGATGAAAAAGAAGATTCTGATTTTTCTTAGGAGAGGAGTGAAGTGAAAGAAGTTATTGTCTACTTTCTTATGTGAACCCTGTTTTCTCTTTTATGATGAGAGTATGAACTATATAAAGTAATTCTTTATATTGGTCACTCTCTGCCTCTTGAAATTTCTACTGGCACATTTAATTCCTAAATATACACTGTTCATGTTCGGTCCTTTATGCTGCAGGATGCGTGAATGATCAACTAGATAACTTTAAAGAGATTGGTGTACACATTTTATTTACATCCTGGGAACATCCATTAGTCCTGTGTATTTTTTTTCTTATTTAAGTCCCTTTTGTAGGCATTGTTCTGAAATGCAGTTGTTAAGTGAGACTCACGAATGAGTCTCTCAAAAGTAGATGGCAACACACTGAAAACTTCTGGATGGAGAAAGTTTTGGTGTATTGTTTGGATGCATCTTGAATTAAGTTGTAGATTAGAGCCCTGGCAGCATCTGATTTTTTTTGTATTTCACCTCTTTCGCAAAACACATTTTTGCAATAATTCAGAAACCTTCATTGTCAACTTTCATTTTGCCAACCCAGTAAAAGCCAACTGTTGTTTTCTTGTTTTGTGCATAATCCATAAAACTAAGAATTGCTGCATTTACTTGAATATAAAATGAGCACCCCCATTCAACATGGGGAATATCAAGCCTTATCTTATGATTGCATATGGTTTATCTGAAACCAGAAAATGCATGTGGCCAGCCACCAGAAGGTGCCCAAGTTCCCCTCAGTGTGAAGGGTTCCAGGCCAGCTGCTGCCTGCCAACACGTGCTGAGTTGCTTTGGCACCCTCTGGTTGGAAACTCCATGCATGCAGCTCAAAATCAGCTGGCAGGTGCTGGCCAGGCACTTTCCCCACAGCGTGTGGGGTTTGACTAGCACGTGCTGAGTTGCTCTGAGCTGCAGCCCCAGCAGCAGGTGCTAGACCAACCTGTTGCATGCTGGAAGCCTAGCCAAGTCCCTTTCTGTGTGCTGGGTTGGTCCAGCATCTGCTGCTTGAGGAGCAGCTCGGAGTAACTTGGCACATGCTGTCTAGAAACCCTGCATGCTGAAGGGGATGGTACCTGGTCTTGGCCTGCTGGGTGTTTTTGAGCTGTGTGCAAGTAGCTTGGCCAGTGTATGCTGAGTTGCCTCAGTACCTGTCAGGCAGGCAGCAGCTGGAAGCAACCTGATCATCTGCCTGCCAGGCACCCAGCATGCTGTGGGGAGAAGCTAGCCAGGCCCTCCCCCCCCCGGCAGGGGCCAGCCAGCACATAGTAAGGAGGGAGTCCACAAGGGATGGGCAGTAGGGCTGTGCGAAGCTTTGGTAGCCAATTCGATTCAGAGGACATTTGGCCCAATTCAGCGGCCAGATCTCCAAATTCAAATTGGGAGACCCATTAAAAGATCTGAATCAATTTGGAAGCCTCCAAATCAATTTGGAGAGATTCAGCACCAATTCGGCCATAAACTAACAGGCAGCAATGCTCAACCACACTGCACACAGCTGCCTCTAGCTGGTAGGTCTGTTGTGGAGGGGGGAGGGAAGGGACATGGAGGGGGCAGATCAGTGCCCCCACAGCAAGGGAGGGATTGGGGCTGGGACAAGTTGTCCAGCCAGGGTGGGGGGGTGCAGGACTTGGGGAGCGGGGCTCCCACCACTATGTGCATCCGGTCTGGGAGCTGCTCTTCCAGGGGCTCCTCCAGCAGCTCTTGCCACCAGTCCAGGAGGGCATGGGAGCGGGCATGTGCCCCTGGATCTGTGCAGGCTGAGCTGGGCTGGACTGCGCTCTGGGAGGCTAGACCCAGCCACCTGCACTCTGGGTAGCTAGCCCCAGCCTGAAGCACAGCCCCAGCTGCACCCACCCCACAGAGCGCAGTGAAGCAGGGACTATGGGAGGGGCTACAGACACCCTAAAATTTCCCATAGCCCCTGCCACCAGCACCGCCCCATGCCCTGCCACTTCTTGCCCAGCCAGGGTGGGTGGAGTGCATGGTCTCCCGGACCTCCATGCTCTCCTGGACTGGTGGCAAGAGCCATTGGAGAAGCCACCAGAAAAACAGCTCCCGGACCAGCAGCGCACAGTGCCAGAAGTTCCCCTCCCTAAGTCCCGTGTCCCCAGTGCCCCGGCTGGGCAGCTTGTCCCAGCCCCAGCCCCGGCCCCTCTCTTGTTGTGTGGGCATTGATCTGCCCCCCCCACCACGCCCCTTCCCTTCCCCGTCCACCCACCACCACAATAGACTTACCAGCTGGAGGCAGCTTTGTCCAGTGTGGTCAAGGACTGCTGCCTGTTTAGTCTATGGCTGAATCTCTGAATTGGCACCGAATCTCCAGATCAAAATCATCTGAATAGAATCGGGACAGTGATTCAAATCACTGAATTAAATCACTGTCCCTCTAAATCAGCCAAATCTGAATCTGAAGCAAATAACTGCTGCTTCGCACAGGCCTATTGGCCAGCGCTCTGGGGGGAGAGACCCCCAGGGGTCAGCCAGGTACCCTGCATGCTGCAGGGAGAGACCTGACTGTAGTGACAAGGGACCCAGCATGCAGTGAGGGACCCAATGCATAAAGAGGCTCTTGGCAGCAATAGGGAGGGATCCAGCATGCAGTGAAACTCCTAGCAGTGGCAGAAAGGGATCCAGTACATGGCAAGGCACACAGCATGCAGTGGCAAGGGACCTGGCAGCAGCGAGAAGTAACCCAAAATGAGAATGCTGATGAGGGATCCAGCACGTTACAAGCTGGAAACAGTGATGAGGGACCCAGCATGAGAATGTAGCGTGCTAGATCCCTCATTGGCCAGGCTCCAGTCAGCACTACCTGACAGCAGTGAAGCAAGTGGCAGCAAGGAACTTGGTGGAGGCACAGGTGGCAGGGAGGAGCACCTGGTAGCAGGGAAAGCAGATGATTACAGGTCCTGATCACCACTAACTGGCCAAAATTTAAAACCAGAGAAACCGATGGCAAATTCTGCGGCGTAAGTGGTGGCAGGGAACCCCCCCCCCCAAGTAATAA